ATTTCACATGTGAAATTTCAAAATTTTCTGATGCATAAAAGTATTTTTAATCTTAAAACAAATATTGCTTTGCATGAACATGCGAAAAGAAAAAAATAGACATGAGAAAAACATTGTTTAAGAAACCTTAACACTTGATAATATTTGATATTTTGAAAGCATTGTAATGTTTACTGATAATCTGCCAAATTTCGTTGACATTTGCTTACTAGTTTAAAAATTATAGCATGAAAACTATAAGAAGCACGAAATGGTTATGAGGTCAGTCCCAGGGACCGAGCCCATGCTGAAAGAGTTAAATGATGATGTTGAAATACTGCAGGTCATTTTTACCAGATTAATTGATGATGTGAAAGTATTGCAGGTCTTCTTACCTAATTAAATTATTTGAAGTTATTACAGATCTGAGTAAATGACAGTGTGAAAGTTTTAGAAGTCTCTTTGCTGTAGTAAATGATGTGTAAAAGTATTGAGGTTATGAAAGTATTGCAGATGAATAACTGATGCTGTGAAGGCATATCTAGTGTGGTATCCAGATGTACTGATATCTAACAGATAACCAAAAGCTTCTACAGTACAGACAACAAAGGAAAAATAAACACAACATTTACAATAGTGTTTCATGTTTATTAACAACTCTGGCTTCCAAGTCAGACAAGAGTCCAAGTGCAGTGGCTCCATAATCTCTGGATTACCTATATCAACAGTTATTCTAAATGACATTTTTAAGGAACAAAATCCAAAATCATACCAACTTGTACGTGTATCTTAAGATGTACACAGATACAGGGTTATAATGATAGAAGCTTTTATGATACAGACATTATAGTATGTAACTTTTACCTGTATAAAAGTATTATTATTCATGTATGATCTTTTGGAATCCAGTTCACAGGATTGTTGTACCTACATGCAGAATACCTGAGTAGAAATTTAGAAAAATTCTTTGATATATTTTGTATTTGTTATGGAAAGGTGATATTATTGGTTAATTCATGTATGACACAGGTCCTCTAGTCTGATTAGATTATGTTGTTAAAGTATTATATCTTGTAGTTAAATAGTTACTGTTGTATAAGAACCTAAAATCTTGCAAAACAAAACTTAGTATGTCTTCCACTGTACAGAATCCTCACTGAGCAGATCAGGGAAAAGTGAGAATTAATAATCATTCATGGCAATATTTGTAAAAGCTCATAATTGTGTTTCCTTTTAAATTAGAATATTTAACTTAGCTTTTTATAACTTATCTAACTTTTATTGATCAGTAAACTTTACATGTAGGAACAAAATGTACTTGTGAAATTAGCAATCAGTTGCATATTTTGGAAACTAAGACCAGTTACTTTACAAATTCTTTGAATGATGTTTTTTTCCTTGTTTTGTACTGTAGTGTGAGAGTAATAGTTCAATAAAACCTTGAGCATCTCTATAAATATAAAGTTTTGGTGGTTTCATTTCTTGGAAACAATGCAGTAAAATTGATAATGCTCGGTTATAAAAGATACAGTAATTTCCGATACAATTGCTTACCTCCTTTCACAGTTATAGCTATTCTCAATTTAACTGCTCTCTGGTGCACAATTTTTACTCACCACTAGCCTTAAACTCCTACCAAATTCCATGTGTATATACTACATGGCTCAGCTGCATTTAAGCAAGCAACAACCCTTCACCAATAAGAGTGTGACACTTTCCCATTACAACTGATTGAATCCAATCTTCACTTCTCGAATTGGTATGAAAGTGTTAAGACCTAGTGCTTGATTTCAGAATTTTTTTCTCCAGTGCCTTTTAAAGATATTCAGTTACTGATTTTTGCATTTCAAGGTATTGAGTTGGAATTCTCTATTTGATTGTGAAATCTATTTCTCACTGAATTACCAGTAGTCAGTCAATATTCTTGAATTGACAATTTAGTATTACGACTACAATGATTACTAGTGTTCAACTGCCCGTGACAATTGCTGCAGCTACAACATTATTGGTGGAGGAAGTGTTGTCTATAATTTGTTGTGAGATGGCTTCTTTCATTTGGGTCAAAGGATCTCCCAATCAACAAACAATTCTGCCATTATCTGAGGAATTTCAATCAGGATGATGTAGACTTAAACAGCTCTTCCCCCCATTTCTTTGCTGTACAGGTACATCCTTACCCTTGAAGCACCTATACCTCGGTCACCATTTTTAGAATTGATATCACTGGTATGTTGTGTTTTGTCTTTATCACCCATGTCACTTGATCCCTCCCCTTCATTATTAACTGCAGCACCTAGTTCTGAGTTTTTAATTTTGCCCTTTGCTTGATATTGGAGTTCATGCTGAACATTTTGCAGATCAATTACATCAGTATGCTGTGTCCTTCATGTACTGTAGAGGCTCATGAACTTGTATATCATTGTTCAGCAAATCATTTCTTGATGGAAAACAGTTGAATTTTCTTTTTCCCCTTCAGGGTTTGGACCCCGATACTTCTGGGTGTTTTTCTCAAGCATAATTTTCTCTCCTTTGTTTCTCCCTCATAACACTTCTTTATTATTTGTTGTCCATTCATCTGTTGTCTGAGGCATCTTGCCATTCTCCCAAGGGTTTTTTGTCCAGATTGTCTTGGTCTGCCCTTTCCCTCCACACTTGGCTCTTTTGTTGCTGGGATCTCTTGGGTTGGGAAGCTTTTAACACGTGCATCTCCCAAACAATTTTCTTGTGAGATCTTCGATCAGCCCCTTTTCTGAGATCTACGATCTTTTGTAGACTTCCAGACATTTTGGAGTCTCGTATTGAATCCGCTAGATTGCACACTTCCCTTACTTCCCATTGTCCCAACCTCTTCCTTTTGCAGTTCCTTCCTCTCCTTTACTGTTCCCCCTTCCTGGACCAAATCCACATGTTGTACCATTGTTCACCAACACCATGTATGATGTCAGGTTGCTGGTGACTATCCTATGGATTTGTGTCCTGTGGTAGCCAGGCTCCCTTATTTCTCAGAAGTGTGGGAGACTTTTATCACTGACACTTGGGTGATTCGAGTTTTGTCAGGAGGACTCTCTCTCCTTTTCCTCGTACCTCCCACCTTATCCCATCTCCCAGTTCCTTCCACCTCCTTTAACATCCCATTTCCTTCTAGTGTCTCACATAAGTGGTTTCAAGTCTTTCTCATCATGGATGGCATCATGCAGATTTCTTCTATGCTTCCAGGGTTCTTTTCCCAACTTTTTGTTGCCCCCAAGAAGATCAGGGGTTGACTTCTTGTGATTGAACCCTTCTGTTGGAATCGCTTCCTTGATGTGCCTCAGTTCAACATGGAATCCTAACTGTCTGTCATGTGAGTCTTCTTCCAGGGCTGTGGTTGATGAAATTTGATGTGTCTGATGCTTATCTTCTCATCCCTGTTCCTTGAGATTCCTGTTGTTTTCTAAGGTTGTCGACGATGATCATGTTTATCAATTCCAAGCACTTCCTTTTGGGCTGGCATTGGCACCTGACATTGTCCATTGGGTGGTCCAATTGTTTGCCTGATTCATTTATTCACTTTCGTGGGCTCAACTTCCATCATTTTATGAACAACTAGTTCCTTCTAGCCCCATCCTTTGCAGCGTTTTCCTCACACACTTCACATTGGGTGAGCAGGTTTATCAAGGTGGAGAAGTCCGTTTCCACCTAACTCAATATTTTGTTCATCTGGGGGTGTTTTTCAAATCGCATCTCAGTTGAGCCCAGCAATCCATAAAAATTTTAGTTCAAAGGGCACTATCAGCACCATCTCTCCCTGCACAAGAGGTTCTGTCTTTTTTGGGGACTTGAGCATCCCTGAGGATCCTACCCCTCTGGGCCACGCTCACACAAGTTCCTTGCAATGAGACTATAAGTTCATTTGTACCTCATCATGGACCCTCTGTATTTACAGATATCTGTTTGAGCTTCCTTTTAGTCTGACTTTCTCTGGTGGTTAGATAGGGACAACAGGACAGTGGGGTTACCTATTCCTTCAACCTGTCTAGATGGTCATGTCTTTACAGATGTCTCATTGTTAGGATGAGATGCAAACGGCATTATACAGGAGATCTCAAGCCATTGGTCTCTGGAAGAGTTAGATCTTGACATCAACTTTTTGGTACTTCTTGCTTTTTCACTCTGTGATGGTTCATTTTCTGTCATCTCTGCAGGACATGACAGTTAATTTTTATTCTGTCAACTCAATGGTTGTCTCTGACTTCACCAGTCAAGAGGGTACTCAATCCTGTTCCTTATGTTCCTGCAATTTAGATCTCCTCTTCTGCGCTCGCAGCTGGCTTGTCACATACCAGGTGCCCTCAATCTTGTCATGAATCATTTGTCCCATCCCAACAAGGTTCTATCCACAGTCTGGCCTCTCAACCCCCAAGTATTCCAATGGCTATTTTTCAGTTGGATACTCCCCAACTGGATGCAATTGCCTCTCATTTGAATGCCAAGTTTCCTCTCTTTTGGTCTCCAGTTCCACATTCTTTGGCTTTGGCTGTGGATGCATTCAGCCAGGATTGGAAGGACCTTTCCTTTATGCATACCCTAGCATCCATCTTTTTCCCTGAATTATTTCTCTCATTCAATCCATGTCAGTTCCTTGTTGTAGCTCCTTTCTAACAGGCTCATCCGTGGTTTCTGTTCCTGTCCCTTCTTCATGAACAACCTCCATTAACCCTCCCTCTCTCCTGGTCCCTCCTCCAGCAACCTCATTCAGAGGTGCTTCATCCCTCCATTCTCACTTTGGCTTTATGTATAGTTTTTTTTTTCGGTCCATTGCAAGGGCTTGGGACTACACGTGTAACATCTCTATTGTCTCACACTGTCTGTTCCTCATCCATGTCTGTATATCAATGTAAGTGGAGAATATTCCATTGTTAGTCTGTTCAGCATGGATTCTCCCCTTCCTCTCCTTTCCTTCCTCAAATATCTGGTTTTACCTGGTTGTTTGACAAGTGTCTGTCCTTTTTAGCCATTGTGAGCTATAGGGTGGCCCTGTCATCTTCCTTACACTTTTACCATTTTTGCCATGTGTTTTCCTCTTCAGTTATTTCCATTCATTCCATATACCATATTTACTCCTGCTCTGATCTGGATCATATACTGTGTCCGATCCTTGCTTTATTGTGTTACGTATAGTGCAGAGTACCCTTCCGTAGCTCTTTCTCCCATTTGTTTATCCATTGAAATCTGCACATTTCTCATGGTATTTCTCCTGTCATTTTTATTGGTTGAGTTTATCAGGTTGTCAATATTGTGTATTCCCCTTTCTCCTGAAACTTGCCAGTTGTTCTATGTATCATCCCATCTGATATGTTGCTTCCCAATGTTCTTGGCTGTTCATTTCCATTGTTCTTTGGAGGAAATTACCCAGGTTGGCATTTGGACCACTCCCCACACCTTGCTGTCACACTACTTGCACTATCTGGCAGTTTCCTGCTCAACTGGATATCATCTTCTCCCTGTAGCCATTCTCCATACATCAGTACAACTCTGAATGACTAACTTTTTTTTTTCAGGGGCTTACTTAACACATTATGAATCCTGATCTGTGGCAAGTGGTACCTGTCTAGGTATACTGATATCCAAAATCCACACTGTGAGATCTATAAGATCTATCACACTCATTGTTGAGATGAGGTGTTCCACAAGACTGCTTGCATGTTGTTCCTCACAGTATATTGTGTCATAGATATGTTTGTACTAGACCGTACACTCGTGGACTAATATGAGTAAAGCAGAAAGAGATTGCTGTCCATCTCTCTGTTTCCTTAGATTGCCAGAATCAGGAATGGTCTGCTTTTCAAATTAGGGTTTCATTGCACATTCTCAGGTGATGTGTTCCTTTATACTTTCCAATGCCTTTCTTCTTCCCCTTTTTCCAGTGGAGTACAGGAGTCCTTACACTACCCAGCTCCTAGCTGCTGGGGTGGTGGATCATGGACGAATCCTCCTGAGTGTGCACAATTCCATTCAGTCAAGAGTAGGGCAGTGGCGTTCTACCTTTATTGAAGGTGTGACTATCCTCTTGCTGTGGGTCTGATGTTTTATTCCAGATGCCACTGGTATGGACTGAATTTCTGTCTGGTTTGCAATTTGCGCCTCCGGCTGGTAACCATCCTTCCTACTGCTGCCTGGATGTCAGTTCCTGAGGACTGGTTTTGGTTGGAGCTGGACCATTCAACATGATTCCTCAAATTTGGGTGGGCTGGGATCTTCCTCCTCCTTTGCATTGGGGATGCTACATCCCCAATGCTGATTGGTTTTGGACTAGTGTTTACCCTCCACATTGTCATCTAAATGTACATTCTCTGGTTTTATTGTTCCAGGTTGTGTTGGATTTGAACAAATATAGGCTTAGATTCTTGAAAAGGAAAATCCTTTTCCATTCTGGTTGCTACACCTGAGTTGAGTGGTTGAGGATCCTCCTTCTGCCAGTTGAGTTCTGACAGGCCCTAGCCACTTTACAAACATTCATCTACCTTTTGGATTTGCAATGAATCACTTGTTCCATCCTTTGATTGCAACACAACACCAGTTGGCTCCACTTGGGTGAAGAGTATACCTGGTTTAGATGTGGTGTGGTCTCCCATATATGTGTTTCCTCTATATATAAGTGGCATACTCTTCAGATCCTTTTGAAGAGTGCTCATCTAGGTAATTTTACATTGGCTTCTCCAATTGCTCAATGTGGGATTCCAGCTGTAACTGTGAGAGAAGGTACGTAATAGTATCAAAAGCTAATATTTTCCTACACTGAAAATATATTTCCAATAGATACTTGTTTCCAATTACAAATTCCCATGCATCTTTCTCACTTCTGGCATTGTTTTCGGTGCCTTATCTCAAAGAGAAGATGGAGTTTCAAGGGAGTCAGCTGTGATAGGAGTGTGTGTCACATGGTAGAGGGTTGGTGTGTGCTAATTTGTATACTTAAACTCAGCTGAACCATGTGGTATATACATGGAATTAGGTGAGAATTCAAGGCTAGAGGGAATGAACAATCATATTTTAAAATATCAGATGTTTAACACATTCTAATTGGTTTGAAAGTAAATTTTATTTCATTATTGACATAAGGGATTAATTGGAATAATTTGCTCAACATATATGATCATATCCAATATTTGATTTTGTTAGGATCAGGCTTTTGTAAATGTGCTTTTATAAATGGTTTTGAAGTGTGAGATTTTTTTTATGGCTTAAGGTAGTATTATTATGGCCCAAAATATTGCTTATAGTATGGATACCCAACCAGTGACTCATTGCTTTCTAAAAATTATAGCTTCAAATTTTTGGCTGTTACCTATATAATTAGCTTGCTTCTGATTATAAATTATTAGCTTGATAACTTGAGGCTTCATTAGTACCTGACCATCTAAAAGAGCCATTACACTAAATGCTTGAAACATTTGTTAGTTTTCTATTCTATTCTCCATGACTATACTTACTGTTTTATTATTGTAAAGAGTAGATTATTCTGAGAATGATATCCAGCTAAAATTAAATGTCTTAACTTTTGTAACATTGTTTCTTTATTTAAGGTAACAACTGTTGACATGTTGAAACCTCCACCAGATTTCCGTTCAAACTTTGATTCAACTCCACCACCAATCCTGGTTGACAATGGACAATCAATACTAGAGAATGATAAGATAGAACGTTACATAATGAAGAATGTACCTGGTGGATATAATCTATTCATTCAAGACAAACAGACAGCTACAGTTATTGAAAACTTGTATAGCGTTAGTATAAAATTTGTTTCATGATTTGTTTGTGACTTTTTATAATAGGAAATTAAAAATGTCTTATATGGTGGAATTATATTACATTTCATAACCAGTCTAATAAAGGAACAGATATTTAAGCCTTTTTAGTCATGTCTATTTAGGAGATTTTTTAGGTCATGTTCAGTTTAAGATAAACTTCTACAACCCAAGGAGTCTTAAATTTCATATAATGTCTATTTTAAACCAATATAGTGTTGAGGTAATATTTAGCATTGATAGTTTCTCATCATTTATGTTCAGTCTAAGGATTTTTGATAGTTGTATTCAGACTAAATGAAATACCTCATTTCCATTAAAGTATAGCCTTAAAGATCAGTTCCTATCTGTATCCAGTTTCTCACTTCAGTCTAAGGGTGGGTGTATGTGAGGTCTGGATTTAAACTATATGTTGCTGTTGTTTTTTTTAGGTCTATTCAGTTTAGATAACATCACTCATGATTTTAGTCCAAATGCAGCTCAGCTAAGCCTCACTTTAGGCCAAGGTTCTTCAAAATGTATAGACTTTTTAGATGAAGTAGAACACTCGTTTTTCTATTTTTTATATTTATGTAAATTTGATGTGGCATATGAATAAATTTTATAAATGAACCAGCTACAGAATACTGTTTATTGAAAAAAAATAAGTTAGCTTTTTTTCTTTTATTTGTTTTTTTACAAATAAGATTTTTTTATAAGCCATGATGTACATAACAGTTTACAGTAGTAAGTAATAAAAAATTTTACATTTTACTTGGAACAGAATTGGTTGTATTACATATTCTGATATTTTTTAACAAGGTAAGAACTATAATATATGTCTTATGTATCTTTAACCTCAGAAGAACTTTTTGAGGTCAGTTGAATTTCACACACACATATACAAGTGTTATGATTTAAGTTAAAGTGCACAGTAGAAAATACTGCACGACGTGGAAAAATAATGAAAAATGTTAAAACACACGTTTATAACGAAAATGTTATTATTATTTCTTACAACGTTTCGGACAGAAGCCCTTTGTCAGGCAGTATAAACCGTGTTACATGTGGTATATGAACAAATCTTATAATAGATCCAGCTACAGAAATTGTTTATTGAAAAAATAAAGTTAAAGCTTTTTTTCTTTTAATTGTTTTCTTACAAATAAGGTTTCTGTCATAATCCATGATGGACATAACAGTTTACATGTAACATGGTTTATGCTGCCTGATGAAGGGCTTTTGCCCAAAATGTTGTAAGTAATAATAAAAAAAAGTTTTGTTATAGATGTGTGTTTTAACATTGTTGAAAATTTTTTCATTATGATTTAAGTTACTGAGACTAGTGTGACTTTTTAAAAAATTCACAAAATGTTTCATTATATTCATTTTTTAGAAATTTAAGCTAGTGCTAACACGAGAAGGGGAATCAACAAAACGAGCCCTTTTAAACCAACTTTCGAATATCAATTCCCATCTTAGTACTCGGCAAGGACGTTTTCTAACTGGTGACACCATGTGTTGTTTTGATTGTGAGCTGATGCCTCGTTTACAACACATTAGAGTAGCAGGTGAGTGATTTTTACTTTTGTTCCCCTTAGTTTTGCTTCTAAGTAAATGAGGATATTATATTTTGGAATATCTTACATGACTTCATTTATGGTAAAATATCTACCAAAACATTTATTATTATATGTATAATCTGTACAACTGCCTACTTGTGTTTACAGTAAAGTACTCAACATTCTCCTGAACAAGTATTTTGCTGAAATTATACTTGTCACATTTTTTTCCAAAATTGTTTTGTATGAATACAGTGTTTCTCAAACGGTAAGTTGTGACCATCAAGGAGGACATGAGCTGTATATGCTGAGTCAAAATTTTTCTTTTTAGAGTCCTCAAGATGTCAGGGGTGCACATATTACCTTTGGGATGAACTATGACAAACTTTGCCAAGAAATATCAAGTATTTTTTCATCCTCATATAAATAATGGGGTGGGGGGTCATGACTACCAAAGCCCAGACGTTGGGGTCGTCTGGCAAATCTGGCTAACAGATACTTTGTTTTATAAAGTCTTCACTACATTTGTATTTTAAAGCACTAACCATATTTTTCTCATGTTCTCTTGCATAAGATATCGTTGATTGTAATAAAATATTCATTGAATAATTGTGAGATGAACAATAATAATGGCATGCAGGAACAAACATCATATTAGTAAGTGAAAAAAAAAAAGTAGAAAATGTTAGCAATAATTGTGGTGAGTAGGATTTTGAATTAGGTTTATTGTACTAATCTCTACTCCTTTTATTGGCTCTAGGAAAGTACTTCTCTGACTTTGACATTCCTGTAGAATTAACCAACCTATGGCGATACATGTACCATATGTACCAGTTGGATGCATTCACCCAGTCCTGTCCAGCAGATCAGGACATTATCAACCACTATAAACTCCAGCTTCAGCGTTCTGCTAACAGGTCTAAGAAACACGAGGAGTTAGAGACACCCACTTACACTACTTCCATACCTTCCAGTGCTGACATCAACGGCCACTAGAGCAAATGGTTATTTGTGTTCTCTGAAATGGCCTAGTAAAATTATAACTATAATGAATCCTCTAGCTTCTCATAACTACTTCTTTGCATTATAGTTTTTTGCAAAACAAATTACACTAAGTGACAAAGTTCCCATTTTTGAAAATGTTAGTTTATAATGGACTAATATAATTATGGCTTATAAATTAAATGTTTTGGAAAGGCACAAAGCATTATCTATGATAAGATAAGAAATATTCAATCATAATAAATACTAAATTATCAAGTAATTGTTCCTGCATATTTTTTTGTTTGTTTTACTTTTCAATAATTGTTTACTTTTGGAATAATTTTAAATTACATTTCATACATGAAACATGGGTGGTTGGTATGGCATTGAAATATATTTTACTTTTACTATGTCAGTTTGTAAAAATCTGTAGAAAATAGGTTACTGATTATTTTAAACTATATTTTAAAGATTTTGTTTGACAAATTTATAGAGATATGAAAATAGTATTTGAAAAAAAAATGTAGGCTTTGCATGATTCCCCCTCTTAGTAGGTTGTTTTTAAGAAGATGCAACTAATTGCAATTTGGAGACCTAATAAAAAAATTAGTGTAAATACAGTGAAGTTTCCATCTTAATATCCCAGGTAGTAAAGAGCTCCTAAAACTCGCTATAAAAACATGTGGGTGTGTGTCTAGTTCTTATTTTGTTGATTTAAAAAAAAATCCTACAAGGTTACCTTGAATGGTTATAATCAACTTGCTTCCTGGCAGAATGTAAGTAGTAATGTAAAACAAATGGTTTTCAGTTAGTAGTATTTTCAGACCCTTTTCTTGGTCAGAGACTTTGCTTCTCTTAATAACACAAGTTTGAGGAATGGTCAAAATGCATTCACATTAATTGTAGGCAAAGTTAGCCCATCTAGACATGAATTATAACTGTAGAATTTAGGGTGTTCCATAAAAAATTCTCACATACACAGAATTTATTAAGAGCTTGTAAAATTGAAAATGCTTATTATATTCATATAGATGTTTTTTATCTTTACTCTATTTAATCTTTTTCTCAATTTATAAACAAATTTAATATATTTTCTTTGGATGAAACATTCAAAAGACTTCTTTTTAGAAATAAAATAAAGAAGTTAAGATAGAAAAATGTTGATCAGAGAAACATTTATTACTCTTAATTTTTATATCTGTATTGATTTTTTTTTAACTGAGAATTGGGCATTGAGCTTTAATTGTAAATTTATATAAAACAAAATCAGTCATATGCAGAGTTGGAGGGTGAAACTGTGGGGAAATTATAAGGTTTTTTTGGTTGCTTGTGAGTAAAAAAAAATCTGCATATGACATTAAATTTATATATTTTTCATTTTTGTCAGAGTTTTGTTCCTAAAAATCCAGGAAAACACTGGAGCAGCTTTTTTTGTGATTCATTTCATGTTTTTGTTTTGATACTTTAACTTTTACTGAAATTTTTTTATTCAAAACTTACTCATTTTCAAACATTTACTGAAGTTAAAGAATGTGTATTAGTGTAATAAAGCTCTATTATAACTATAAATTAGCTTTAGGAAATTATAATTTATCCTTCTAATGATTAAACATGTTTACTTGGGCTACATTTTTTACAACCTGCATTTCTACAGCTAATTCATTTTTATAAAGATATGAATTTATTTATTCAAGGAGAAGTGTTTACAAAAATCAATTATAATTTTGTAAGTAATCATGACATAAAAATACTATATCTACTAATGATTGGAAATTATTTGACTTGTTACCTAAGTTGGGAAAGTACACACGTATTTGTTATTCTGAAAACTGTTGGAAAAATGGGTATCTTTTTAATGAACATACTTACATAAATATTTCACACTGGTATATACTGGAAGCTTATGAGATTTAAAACAACATTTGAAAGTAATGTTTTCTTTCATAAACATAAAATTGCTTTCAGATATTTTTTTTGAGAGTGATTAATTTCAAGCAAATATTGTTAAAAGAGTTATGAGCTTCAGGGAAGTATACTAATTTTTATATGTATATTAAATAAAATACATTTATCAGCACATATTGTACTCACTTCTTTAAATAGTATGTAAACTAAATTTACATTCTTTTTTTTATGTATTATTTTTGTACTTTAAACAAAAAAGAAATTAACCATAATTTTAAAAAAATTATGTTTTGTAAATGTGTGTGTCTTAACTAAAGATAATTGCACATTTTAATTTCATATAGTTGTGCATACATATGTAACCATGTTTTAAATTGTATTATGCTTTAAGTTAATTGTTGTTTGAACATCAATGGAATTGTTTCTGTATTTGATTTAGATTACCTTTCCTGGAAACCTTGGATATTTGATTTGTCGGTTATGTTATGAACATAAATTTTCATGAAGTAGAAGTTCCATGTAAATGAAAAAAAAAAAGAAAATCTTATTTTGCAGTAAATAATAATTCTTGATAGAAGTTTTGATGTAGGAAAAATTAATATAACATGTTTCTTCTCTCTTACCCAATTTTTTCCGTTTAAATATTGATCTTGTATCAGGCAGTTAAATTATCCAAGGTCTCGTGGTTATACAGTTAAAAAAAAGGGGGGGTTTAGGTGAACATTTATTTTCAGTGGGAATTATTTTTTGCACATTGCTATGGAGAATAATCCAGATTTTATCAGTCAGTTTTTTTTGTTGTTTTTTTGTTAATAAAAGTCACCTAAAACTAAATATTTGTATGCCCATAAAACTAATAAAAGAGGAATAAGTTAACATTGTATCTGGGTAAATAACATCCATCCAATTAAAGAAAATAAAGCTTTATCCCTAACCATTACCTTATTATTATTATTTTGCTAAATCCATATGTAGGTAAGTTGTGGATAGGCTTCAAACTGTTAATAGGACATGTTTTTATTTTGTATGACTAGAATATTCCAAGATGTTTTATTGCTGATTTTATAATTCATCTGAAACTTAATACTTGCACATTCACAAAAGTTATGAAGGAGAATTAACAGGATTCCATTAAGATAGTCTTGTGTAAAGAATACTGTTTTTTATATATTTTTTTCAGAAACAAGAATATGAATGTATCCATTATTTGAAATATTAATTATTTTTTAAATACAGGATTTTATGTACTAATGTACAAGCAGTTGAAGTCAGAAGTGTAATTTTTTTAATTGAGCAGCTTATTTTAATTTTAAACAGGTTTGATTAAACTGTTGTTCTAAGATCAATCACTTGTAATTTCTTAATGTAAGAGGAGTACCTTTGGATTCTTCTTAATTTGTAACAAGTGTTTCTTATTTTACTGATCACTTAAATTTTCACATTGTTGCATGTAATTAGTATTAATAATAAACAAATTACCACTAATTATCTTTGTGTCCTATGTTAAAGTATTGCTGTGTTGAAACTGGCTCAAGCCTAAAAAAATTAATATGTTGTTGGAACACACTTAGCATTGAAATATTTGTTCTGTTTTATAGTACCAAAAGTAGTTTACTGGCTGTTCTAACATTAATCTCAGGTCTAATCTTATGAATAAATAAGTTCTATTTCATTCAGAGGCTCTGGTCTTCATTGATAAACCTTGGGCTTATAATGCTAAAAATTAGGTTTTGATGCCCACAGTGGGAAGAGCACAGATAGCTCCTTGTGTAGCTTTGTGCGCTTAACAATAAACAAACTGGTCGTCATTAGCCCTTGCTAAGACCTTATACCAATTAGAATGAATAACAACAACACATTATCTTTGGGTATGTTTCAGTAATCATAACTTAATAGATCTTAGTTTGAATGTTCTTTCACTCACGTTAAAATCTTTCTTTTAGTAGGCTTGCTGACAACAAGGACAAATAAATCTACAAACTACATATGATGATATTAAAGTAGGAATCCAGCCTTGAATCTAAAAAATAAAATACCCAGGCAACATTTAGGTTTAAACACACACACACTGTATTTCCAAAACCTCTAACATTTCAGTAATCTGGTAAGACTAATGTGCATACAAATATAGTGATAGCACCTGTTGGAGTTAAAGGGACAGAACCAAACGTAGCCATAGTGGGATCAACCGTCACATTATAACGCCCCCACGGCTGAAAGGGCGAGCATGTTTGGTGGGACGGGGATTCGAACCCGTGACCTACAGTTTGAGAGTCGAGCGCCCTAACCAACTGGCCATGCCGGGCCACTAGTGATATTGTAAACCTTGTTGACGTATTTGGAGATGAAAAACACTTCCCAGCAACAAGCCTGGGCAGTTAGAAGAAAAAAAAAGATTGGTAGGGCATTTCACGAAAAATCAAAGAACATGTTCACATTTAACAACCTGCATTATAACACAAGGATAAATAGTGTGATTATCGACATGAAATTCGAAGCTGAATACCGAGAGAAGAAATTTTAATGAGAATCATTGATATTACTCTCGTTGTTTCAGTGGAACTTTAGGCAGAGGAAATATAGTAGTGTTACGACAGCGGAGGTCACGTGACTCTGGTAACACGTAATAAGTGTTTAGACTAGAGGGTTCATTAAGAGTCGAGTGCATTCTAAACGCCCTCTATTCTTGTATATAAGCGCGGCAAATAAAGCGAGATAATTAATTGGATAGCAGACAAGGAGACAGATAATCGAGTCAAGTCGTAAGTAAAGTGTGTGAATCGTTGTGAATTATAGCGTATGTTTAAGTTCTAGTGACTGTGGAAATTAAGTGTATTGCAAAGTTGTATTGAGAAAGAATAAACTAGTTTTATTTAAGAAAGGGCTTGTATCGCTGAAGTTCTTCGGAAAGAACAAACGAACAGAGACGTAACAGTAGGTTTGAAAACTTGAATTGATTGCCTATTGAATGAAAATGGGACAACATTCCGATTTCTATGCTGAGTCCTTCTTTAGGTCACAAATGTTTCACTTGTATGAACTGAAAATGTGCTGTCGGTATCGTAAAAACATATTAGTAACCGTATTTTACTCAGAAGAAAGTTTAAAATAGCAATATTGATATATTATTCGTTGAATCTAACCTATACAAAAGCCAATGGGTTTAACTTCACGAGCGATTTCTCTTAATTCTCGAAATAGGAGCAGTCATAAAATCCAAAATGCATTTATCCAGAATGAATAGTTTGATTACTGTCTGCCCATTACGATTTTAGTGACAGGAGTGAAAGGGGCTCATGAGGATGAAGTTTTACAAGTGTAGTGATGTTGGTATAATAAGGCTAAAGTAAAGACGTAGTATGGGATCACCTAGCGTAGAGCCAAGTGCATGAAATTTATCATGAAAGTAAAAATACCGAATCAATTTTAAACTTAAATCATTTCTGAATTAAGCTATTTTCTGATATACCACCAACGTTTTCAAAAAAAACCTCTTTTAATCAACAGAGACTCTAAATTAAGAAATCAACGAATATTTCTCCGGTCTATACATTTCATTATATAAGTTCAGTCTAACAACAATATTAGGTTACTAGCTAGAGTACCCGTCTTCTGGACGGAAGTTATATAAATTCATGATTCATGAAAGGTTATCTTAGGGCATGAAAAGCTGCTTCTCTTATATGTAATTGTAAAAATTCGCAAAAACACCCATAAAAACTGCAAAACAAAATTTGAACCCGCAAGTTTGAATGTATTTTTGCAGGGACCCAACAAATCTTCATGCCAAATTTGGTGAAGGTCCATCAAGATGGGGCGAAGTAATAATAAAAAATGCCCATAAAAAACGCAAAATGCAAAGCTGAAAATTTGTATGGACCTAATGAAACTCCACACCAATTTTGGTGAAGATCCATCTGCACCTTGCGAAGTAGTTACATGGACATACAACAGACAGTACTATTATATATATATATATACTTTTGTTGCTAAGTAATATGACATAAAAGCCATTGTAGGAACATATTGTTACCAAAACGCATTGGATTTTCTATAATTAGAAGTTGTTTATCTAACTGGTTTTTATCAATAATTATCCTATGAATACGCCACGAATTCATTTCATGAATGAACTTAATTTCGATTGGCTCACAAAGGAATTTACCAACGTTTGACTGCCTCGACTGCACTTTTCTGCCTCTCTGTTGGTCAAACTTGATTTCTCAAAATTTTTTCATTACAGTTAAATATGAAATGTGAGGTTGGAATATACTTTGGTTTGGGTTGTTGTTAAGCAGAAAGCTACACAATAGGGTGTACTATGTGATGAGGTGGTAGTACTTGTTCTGATATTTTTGACGAACTATACGCTAGTAATTAATAAAGAATCAGTTCATTAACATGCTTAATGTTTTTATCTTCATGTTTTACACAACAAAATATTTACACTGTTTAACGTTGTTAGGTTTTATCGATTTTGTTACTACCATAAAGAATATAGCTCTATGGCTTGCTCTGCAACACGCAACCAGGATGAAAACAGCATATACATATGGAAAACATAAAACGTGTATTTTCTGTGGCTTCACGATTATGTTTTAGAAATTCTTGATAAAATGTTCACGTTTATACTTCTAGATATAGGGAAAAATTGATGTATTAAAACAGCCATAAAAATGCAAAACTGGTTATCAGCAAGAAAAAAAAAAGAGAGAAAAATATCTAACCTATATAAAATCCAGTGAGTGTCACGTCACGATTGATTTCTCGAAATAGAAGTCATAAAAGCCAAATGTATTTATTCAGTTAGAATTATTCGATTACTGTCTTTCCATTACGATTTTAGTGACTGGGGTGAAAGGGAGCTGTGAGGATGTGTGTGTGTGTGACGTGAAACCTTATAAACGTAGTGAGTGTTGGTATAATAAGTCTAAAGTAAAGATGTAGTGTGGGATCACCTAGCCTAAAGCCAAGTGCATAAAATTTATTATGAAAGTAAAAATATAGATTCAGTTTTAAACTTAAATCGTTTTTAAATTAAGCTATTTTCTACTATATCACCAACGTTCTTAATAAAAAAGACAAACCTCTTTAATCAACGGAGACTTTAATTAAGAAATCAACAAATATTTTTTCAATTTGGTTTTCTATATATTGTTACGACAGCGGAATTCATGTGACGTTAGTAACACGTCATGAGCTTCTAGAAAATTCATGTCCTTTCTTGAAGCCTCGAGTGTTCTCCAGATGTACGCTTTTTGTATATATAAGACCGGTAAAAAGTGACGGCAACAATGGAATAGCAGACTGGCAGAGATAGAGACGGACAATTGAGCCAAGCGCGGCTGTGACCGTAAGTAAGTGCGTTAATCATTTTGAATTATAGCGTGTGTTTAAAGTGACTGTGGAAATTAAGTGTATTGCAAAGTTGAATTGAGAAAGAATAAGCTAGTTTTATTTAAGAAAGGACTTGTATCGCTAAAGTTTTCCCCGGAAGAAATTATACGGGAAATTAACTAACGAACACAGAGGCATAACAAATTGGTGTCAGAGAGTGGGACAGAAAAAGAAGATGGAAACGAGAAGTGGCAAATCAAACTACAGCTTAGCAGATTTGATGGCAGCAATACAAGAACAGCAGAAGAACGAGAAAAGAAACAATAAAAGAAACAGGAAGAACGAGAAAAGAAACAAGAAGAGAGATTACCGCAGTTGTTGGAGGAAAAAGAAAAGAAACAAGAAGAACGAGAAAAGAAATAAGAAGAGAGACAACAGCAGTAGAAAGAAAACCTGCAACAGTGGCAGCTCGAACAGCAAAATAAACAAGAGAGACTACAGCAGTGGTGGAGAAGAAAGAAAATAAACAAGAAGAGAGATTAAAGCAGTGGCAACTGGAAGAAGAAAGGAAACAAGAAGAAAGTATCCAACAGTTGCAGGAAAGTCAGCAGCAACTACAGGAAAGTCAACAACAGTGGCAAGAAGTACAAATGGAAAACATTAGAAAATTTCAAAGTGAAGTAATTACATTAAAGGATGATTTACTGTCTTTTACACAAGGAGGATATATTAGCCATCGATCTAATCAGCCTCGGACAACGGGAAGCCCCTTCCAGACCCCGCAGCTAAACCGTAATGCAGACATCTTCAGTCCTGCCAAAAGTCACATTCCA